TCTCAGCTGAACATTCTGCTATAATAACAACTGCTTAATATATCTCTCGAGTAAGGAAGGTTCAGAATGATTCCCTCAGAAATCTAAGCGCCACAGGCAGATAGCAACAGCAGGATGAGGGTATACGCCCAGCACGACTACGAGCAGCAACAACTCGGACTGCTCCGATGTTACTGAACGAAGCATCCAGGCGCTGGAGAAAGGGCTTAATAATAGTGCCCTTCGCCATTCCCCATCACCTGCATCAGACATTATAATCAGAGAAATGAACAAAGGATGATATTCTCTTGATTATTAGTATAAGTACCTAAATAATACCGAAAACGCTTCTCAGACAATGGAAAAATCAAGTCAGAACAAACAATCTAACAATTCACCGGAGTCTCCCATGAACAATGAACCCAAGAAACCTGCAGAAAGGTTTTCCTTCGGTATTGAATGGAATAAGGAAACAACATAGATTGAATATCTCGTTTATGGGATAGGACTAGAGGAGCTCTTCATCTGCATTCCCTTGCAGAATATTGAGGCACGAGAGAATAAGAACTCTCGGATTAGCTCACTTCATAATCTACACTACGAATTAGCTTGGATCTCCTGCATCTATTATAGCTGCAGAACGCATTTCTCAGACAAGGTATAATACGAATGGTTCTTCGCTAGAGAATCAGAATAAATTCTTCAGGCTGTTGAAGAATAGGAACTCCGCTTCAGGGAGATTCTCAACAAACAGCACTACAACGTATACATCGGACTACCAGACAACTGCCCTATGCAATGCATGAACAAGAAAATAAAATGGTGGCAGTGTGAAACAATACTCTGCACAATTTACATTAATGATAAGGTTTGCAACTGGCATTAACAGAAGAAAGATCAGGAATAATGATAATATGGGCAAAAGCAAGCTAAGAAGCTTGCTCAAGAAGCAGCGAAGCAAGCTCAGAAGAACAAGCAGTTCTCAACGAATCCAAAAGGATAGGATCGTTTGTAAAGGGACTGCAGATGATCAGACTAGAACAGTCTCTATGTGAAGCTTCTAGAACAGATTATGCTTATATTAAGTTTGATATATATATTCAAGGATACAAATACAGCGCACTATTGGATAGTGATGCTTAGGGAAACTTTATATCCCTATACATTGTTAATCAGGCACAACTACAATGGAGATGGAAGAAATGCTCATATACTCTCAGCACTGTAGAAGAACAATCTGTTGCATACAACCAAGAAGTAATTAATAAGGAGACTAATTATCTATCTGTTTTGATCCAAGAATGTACAACCAGAGCTTCTTTTGATATCATAGATACAGCATAGCATGAGCTGATTATGGGGCTTCTATGGCTTAAGGAGCATAATTCTCGAATCGATTGGACTACTGGCCAGATCTCATGGGAACAAGCTGTACCCAGAGAGATAATTACAATCAACGATGCAGGATTGAAGCTAGTGGTTGAAGAATACTCAGAAAAAGAAGCTTCATACGACTTCCCATATACCTCCAAGTCAGCAGGGCTAGCAGTTCAAGGAGAAGGATCTAGTGATAAGCAAACCCAAACAGTGCTAGGGCGCCAACAGGTTAGCAAAACAACGGAAGCGAGACTCTCAGCAAATCGGTCCGCCCCGGAGCAACAAAGAAAAGCTTCAGAATGTGGATTGTGGAACCACACGGGAAAAACCTCGAAACCAGGCCCTCGAGCGCTCGGTCCGGCCCGGAGCGAACGCTCAAAGCCCTCGAAAACGCCATCAGAAAAGAAGCACGCTCAACGGTACCTACTGTTCCTCCAGATAGCAGAAACAGCACAAGGATCAGAACCTACTCTTGCGAACATATCACGAGAATATCACAAGTTCAAGAAACTATTCCAGGAAGGATTGGAAACAGGATTACCAGAATACAGCTTATACAATCACGAGATCCTGCTACAAGAAGGAAAACAGCCCAAATTCTTCCCCATCTACAGACTAGACAAGACATAGCTAGAGGCACTTCAGGAGTACCTTGATGAGAACCTTAAGAAAGAATACATACAACCATCGCAATTACCAGCAGAATACCCTATCCTGTTTATACCCAAAAAAAACAGCAAGCTTAGGCTATGCATTGATTACAAGCAACTCAACAATATTACAATCAAAAACCGATATCCGTTGCCACTCATCAAGGAACTATGAAACAGATTGCAAGGAGTATAGTGATTCACAGTTCTGGATCTAAAAGGAGCTTATAATCTGATCAGAATAAAGGAAGGAGAAGAATGGAAAACTGCTTTCAGAATGCACTATAGATACTACGAATATTTGGTTATGCTCTTTGATCTAACGAACGCCCCAGCTTCATTCCAGGAAATGATCAATCACATCCTATGCAAGCACCTGAATCAGTTCATCATTGCCTATCTCAACAACATCCTTATTTACTCTTGAATATTGGAAGAATACAAAAAATACGTAGAAACAGTATTGCAGATGCTTCAGAATGCAAAACTTCTTGTAGAACTAGCGAAGAGTTACTTTCACGTACAAAAAGTTAACTACCTCGGATTCATAATCAAGCCAGAATGCATCAAGCCACAGAAGGATAAGGTAGAAGCTATCAGAAACTAGCTAATTCCCAAAAACGTTAGAAATATTAAATCTTTCCTCGAATATATTAACTTCTACAGGCAGTTCATTAAGAACTACAGCTGAATTGCACATCCCCTTATGAATCTTACCAAAAGGAATCAACCCTTCAAATAAACCTCCAAAGCACAAGAAGCTTTTGATGAGATCATCAAGCATGTCATCTCAGAGCCAGTTCTGTATAAAGCAAACCCCTACAAACCCTTTGAAGTTGAGACCAACGCATTAGGATATGCACTCAGAGAATAACTTAGCTAGCGAGATGATCAAGAACATCTAAGGATTGTAAGCAACTTTTCGAAAAAACTGAATAGCCCGGAAATCAACTACAGAATCCCCAATCAGAAACTCATAGCAATAGTAAAGGCTTTCAAGGAGTAGCAACACTATCTCATTAGCGTACAATATCTGATTATAGTTCACTCGGATCACAAGAATCTGATTACGTTCATGACGACTAAGGTTTTGAATAAGCAACAAGTTAGATGGGCAGAATTCCTCTTACAGTTCGATTTCAAGATTGTGCACTGCAAAAGCTTGGAGAACGGACGAGCAGATGCTCTCAGCAGAAGATCAGACTATTGAAATGCAGATTCTTCGGATATACAGAACATCTTCATTCAAAACGAGTCAGGAAATCTCGTCAATGCACATAGAGAACTGAACGCTGCTCTCAGGATAGGACTCTCAGAAAGGAATTCAGAATCAATAACTCTGAACGAACAAGATAACTACATCAAGGATATACACAGTATACCAGCATACAGGCACCAGAGAGTCAGAGCAACCTACAAACGCATCAAGAAACACTGAAACCCACCAGGCCTTAGGAAAAGGATTGAAAGCATCCTACAATAGTACAACAGCTGCAAAAAGAATAAGGCAGAAAGATACAAGCCTTATAAACTACTGCACCTCTTACCAATACCTACAACTATTTAGCAATCCATCAGTCTAAACTTCATTACCAAGCTACCTCTCTTATAAGAACCCTTAACTAAGATACAATATGATAGCATCCTAGTAGTAATTTGCAGACTAAGCAAGTATGCTTACTTTCTCCCCTACAAGGAAAGCAGTATAGCAGAGAAACTCGCATATGCATTCCTCAGAACAATCATCGCCAACCACAGCACGCCAGAGGAAGTAATCTCCAACAGAAATAGAAAGTTCAACTCAAAATTTTAAACTTCACTTATGAAACAGCTCGGAACATATTACAGAATATCCATAGCATTTCACCCACAAACAGATGAATAAACAGAAAGAATAAATCAAGTTATTAAACAATACCTACAATACTATATCAATCAGAAACAGAACAACTAGATTGATCTATTGCCTCTCGCACAGTTCGCTTATAATAGCGCAGATACAAGCACAACGAAGAAATCGCTATTCTTCGTACTCTATAGATACAACCCAACAGCTTATCATGAAGCACTGCTAGAAGCAGATGCAGAAGCTGCAGACAAAAGGATTAAGAAGATCAAGAAAGTTCAGAAAGAACTCTGATCAGAATTACAATTTATCCAAGAATGAATAACGCAATATGCAAACTCCAAAAGGATTGAGGAACCAATCCTACAAAAGAGAGATAAAGTTTATCTACTTCGGAAAAACATCAAAACAACCAGATCCAGCAACAAACTCAACTACAAGAAGTTAGAACCATTCAAAATCTTATAACAAATCTTCCCAGTTAACTACGAATTAGCATTATCTCATAAGATGAAGATACACCCAGTTTTCCATATCTCACTATTGAAACCAGCAGCATAGGAAACATCAGCAGACAATACAGCAGAAGTAGAAAACAACGAACCAGAATATGAAATAGAGAAGATTCTCAAGCATAGAAGCACAGACAATACAAGGGAATACCTTATTAAGTGGAAAGGTTACCCAGCAAGTAAAAATTCATGAGAACTACAAGAGAACGTTGAAAATGCTCAGGAAAAGATAGCTGAATATTGGAAAAGGAAGGCTAGCATCTAAAACAACCGCTCCAGCCCGGAGAAAAGCCCAGAGCCCACCATCTTATCCAAAAACCCAGACCAATCCATCACTGCATTCCCCACATCCACGGAATTCCAGTCAAAACCCTTAAAAGAAGAATCTTCAGCAATTACAGCAGATTCCTCTGCAATCATAGAACAAATCCCAGCAGCAATGCAAGCTCGCTTCTTCTCAGCCTTCTCACATTCCAACTCCTCCACACTGGAAAGGCCTCAACAAATAGCTTTTATTATTCTCTCAAACTACAAACGCTTCTGCTTTCGCAAACATTCTATCTCTGCAGCAGCATCGCGCAGCCGCTTCTCAGCACTCTCGAATTGGTTCTCCAGGCATTAGTGCTGAATGCCTATTCAACGAATTTCCGCTGCGCTCAACCCTTGAATATTGCACTGAGAGCAACTCAGGCGGATACATTCAGCGCAGCGAGAGGAATCCTCAACGGAAACTTGACAAGACTGAATACCACAACCCTTGCAGAAAGAACAAGAAAGTATAATGATAGCGTTTTGAAGAACCAAGGAAAGAAGAGAATCCTTTTGTTTAGTCTTCTTAGTATAAGAGCGGGATTTGTTGATTCTGTTCAATATCTCAATTAGGAAGGCAAGATTACGTATACGGAGAACTTGCTAGGATACTTACAAAAGATCGTTAGGGATAATGACTGATAGGAGGGAGATGATATTATAACCCATCCAACATGCAGATTACAGAACAGATCACGGGTAACAGGGATCAGGCATCAAGGACTCAACATTCTGACAAAGCATTGATTACATAATCCAGAGTTAGGGTTATGAGCATGGCTAATCAGGAAGGATAGCTTCGGATATGTGCTATTCAGAGCTAGCAGAATAACTTGAATATATTGCTATCCAACATATCCATACTAAAGAGCTGGATATATAAGAACACGTTCATTACCATTAGATAGATTCAGTACATAGCTCTTCAGTTGTCAATCTAAGTATTCAGTTTCATACACTGAGTAGCCCCAAAGGCAGTGAACACTTGCATCGCTTATTAGGACTTGTACGGTTCCGTATTCAAGGACTTGACACTTTGACACCGCTCTTGTTAGCATAAACCCCTTCGTGTACTTAGGAATCTTCGGATTGCTGCAGTGCTCATTACATCAGCATTGTAGAAGGATAATCTGTTGCATACAACCAAGGAGTAATCAATAAGAAGACTGATTATCTATCTATCTTGATCCAAGGATATATAGCTAAGGTTTCCTTTGATATCACAGATATAGCATAATATGAGCTGATTATGAAACTTCTATAGCTCAAGGAGCACAATCCTCGAATTGATTGGATTACTAGCTAGATCTTATAAGAACAAGCTGTATTCAGAGAGATAGTTGCAATCAATAGCGCAGGATCGAAGCTAGTTATTGAAGAATACTTGGGAAAAGAAGCTTCAAACGACTTCATACATACTTTCAAGTCAGCAAGGCTGATAGTTCAAGGAGAAGAACCTAGTGATAAGCAAACCCAAACAGTGCTAGGGCGCCAACAGGTTAGCAAAACAACGGAAGCGAGACCCTCAGCACATCGGTCCGCCCCGGAGCGACAAGGAAAAGCTTCAGAATGTGAATTGTGAATTCACACAGAAACCTCGAAACCAGGCCCTCGAGCGGTCGGTCCGGCCCGGAACGAACGCTCAAGACTCTCAAAAACAACAAACAAAAAGAAGCACGCTCAACGGTACCTACTGTTCCTCCAGATAGCAGAAACAGCACAGGAACCAGAACCAATATGTTATGACTCATCCAACATGCAGGTCACGAAACAGGTCACGAGTAACAAGAACCAGGTGTCAAGAACCCAACGTTCTAACAAAGCATTGATTACATAATCCAGGGTTAGGGTTACAAGCACGGCCAATCAGGAAGGATAGCTTTGGATATGTGCTATCCAGAGCTAGCAGGATAACTTGGTGTGAAAAATGAAGCATATTTAACCCTAATCCTCTGTTTTGGTCTCCTCATAAACCATCTCAGAGCCTGGTTTAGTTACTTAGAAGATCTTCCTTTTGTATTAGATAGATTCAATCTCAACACTCATTCAGCCACTTCCACGTGCTCAGCTCATACATTTCTCCTTAGTTATGAGCTCAGTTCGCAAGAATCGGATTTAATCTTCCCTTTATCTATCGAAATAGACTGAGCCGTTCACTTCTTATTCTTTCAGAATACATCTTTTGTTCCAAACAGTTATACTCACGCTCCATCAAAGCTCACGATGGAGTGCGAACCTGACAACCTTACGCTCTCGGTAAAGTATACCAATATCTACTCCTTTCCATCCTGGTACAGCATTTTGCAGTTCCAGAGCAAGGGAAAGGGTGTTTGGGAGTATCTAGACTCGGATGGCCCAGATGCGCTCTCTCTCGAACCTGAAGACTTCAATCTCGAGTTCTCCAAGTTTACTTAGGATCTTGAGAAAGAGTGCAAAAATATTATAATGGAGAACTACAAGCTACTCTCTATCCAGGAACAAGCTATTCTCTATGATTAGGAAATAAAACGCTTTCAGCTTTATCAAAACAAGCAGTTGCATGCTTATTAGAACATACAGAGAATGTGGAACTGAATTCAGAAAACAGTACCTCCGTTAGTTCTCGTTTCTCATATGCACACCTATCCAGGAAAGAAGTCTCCCTCGATTCAACAGGTACTCAGGAACCTGAAGAAAGACCTCTGTCCGTCCGAGGAGAGCATGAAACAGGTTGTTCGCCTCCAGTACCGCTATTACCTTGAGCTGGCCATCAGGCAAGGCACTGATTTCCAAAACTGGTGCTGGCAGTATCAGGATCTCCTGAATCTAGCTCGAGTTTACAGCATTGATAAAGTTGAGGGATTTCAGAGCTCTAATAACTTCCTCGCTGCTATCGGAGTTCGCTTCCAGACAGAGTAAGCCAAAACGCAACAACATCTCCTCGCTACAGCATCTAACGATAGTTTGCTTATTAAGACTATTAAATAGCTTCAACGAAATCTCGCTTCAATCTACTAACTTCAGCCTGAGCAGAAAAAAGGCTTAATAGTATTCGCCACTATAGGCGGAGAAAATCTACAATCCGGCAACTCAAGTACAAAATCTGGGAAGAAATAAGATGGATTTTCCAGCTAGAGCGAAAAGAAAGATTACAAGTATCTCTGCAAGTTATATCAAAGGAAGCATAAATGAAGCTTGATGAGCTGCAGAAGGCTGGAATACGTTTGTATTGGAATTAGGCTAAACTCAATCTTTAAGACTCTATCTAACAAGCAAAGAAAGAAGATCCTCTCTAAGCTAGCTAGCAAAAACTATCAGAAGCTTCATTCAGACCTTATTAGAACTAAATAGCTTTCTCAAGGCTGAACAGAGAGAATCTTACAGAGAACGGAGAACAACAGAAATCTCTATTCAAGTACTATCAAGTACTAGAATCTCTTAATCACAATATCAAAATGCCAGATCCAATATTCCTTAAGCCTGAAACAAGGCATTCTCAGTTCCTTCAAATAAATGCTATCTTCAATCCTCAACTCTTCAATTAAGCAGTATTACTACAAGTAAGCATAGCAGTCTTCTCAATACCGTTTCAGATATCTCATATCCTTTCCCAAAGCATAGTTCTGGATAACTGTGGAGCTGTATATCTTGTTAATAGCATTAATCTTCTGGAGCTAAATACTTTTTCTCTCTTAAGGGATGCAGAAGTTGTAGAAGCAGGAAGCTTATTATTGCTAATACAGGGATTCGGAAGATGATGCTTCAAAAATGCACTGAATAGGAAGCAAGGGAAATGCACTGAGAATCTAGTTCTCAACTGTATAGCGGTTGTAAATAGCTTCTATGTTAACATAATTGCTGAAGCTTTCTTATATGAGAAAGGGATTTAATACTATAGCAAAGATAGCATACTATGCTTAGGAATGCTTGAATAGAGCGCAGTGATTGCGAATCTATACAGAGAGTTCAACTTAGTCTTCTTCGAATACATTCCTTTTGCAAACTCTTCCTACTCTCGAGCTTCAGCTACGCTGCTATACAGCTGAGCTAGCATTCTCGTATTCTCAACTCTAAAAAGAAACAAGCATCCTCATTCTTCATATAATAAAGCGCTTAAAAGAAGTAATTCAGAGCATCTTTAGCATCTAAGATCGGGATATCTAAGTACTAATGCTCTGAAGAAGCTCATCTACTCAGTTTATAGTATTAGAATCAACAGAATCAGACGAATTGACTGTGAATACTGTACTCTAGAGCGCATTACAAAGGTCATTCAATGCGCAAGATCTGAACATTACAGCCCTTGATCATTCTAGCGCATTAGTTGGGATCTCCTCGATTATAATGAAGCGCAGGATAGCTCAAAATGAGCTCTTATACTCAAAGACGAGTACAGTAGCAAGTTGTTTGCCTTTCCGATATCTAACAAGATACAATCCACAGTATTCGATATGCTCAAGTTATTCGAGATCTGAGTATAACGCTAATATCGCTTCTTCATCTGCAAAATCAGACAGAATGCAGACTTCTCAGTTATAAGAAAGCTATACGAAACAGTATACATACAATGGTGCGCTAACAATAGCATCGATCTGAAAGTTATTTCACTGCATATGAAAGAGTTAAATAGCGCTGCTAAGCAAGCTAAGCATGAAATTCAGGAGCATGCACTAGTTCTCCTATTGTTAGCTAAACTACCGAAAGATCTATAGCTAGAATGTATAAAAGCAGCTATCTGACTATTCAATATCTCTCCATCCATACTCAAGCACTCCGAAACGCTAAATTCACTTCTGAATAGCTAGTTCAGGCAGTACTTTCGTTAGTATGCGCTAGAAATAATCAGAACAGCAGTCTCGGATCTACAGCCTAACTAGGCCAGAATCTACGCATATGAATGCCAAGCATACATTCTGCAAGAAGAATGCGAACTTAGCTCTTATAAATGGGATATAAAAACAGAACCAAGAGCATATAAGAGCTATCTTGTAAGATATATTGCAAGCAATCTGTACTGCATATAGCTTTCAGCGCTTGCAAGAATTGCAATTGTATACAATATTCTATTTGATAAGAGCCAATTCTACAATCCAAACAGCAGTAAGACATCAAAAGCACTATCTCATGCTCAGCTAGCACCAATTATTCCAGAGATTGGAAATAATAAGAAAATTATGAATACAATCGTTATTGGAAGCATATAGGATCCAGTTCCCTAGCCTGATGCTACAAATCAAAACCAAGAATCTCATCCGCTGTTCAACAAGAACAGTAGCTCATTCTCAGAGTCTCTCTCAGGAGGCATCCTAAGTTGGAACTCAGAAGTAAGAGCATTTGAAACTAGCAATAGAGTGCTCTTGCAAAGCAATCCATCCCAGGGAAGAAGCTTAGAGGATAAGATGTAAGAATTTCCAACTTCTGAAAAATCTCCTGAGGCACCGGAATAAACAGATCAGCTAGAAAGAAGCGCTGCTGCAAGCAGCGAAGATGTTTCAGCAACTGAACAGGCGTCTTCAAGTACTGAACAATAAGCTACTAGTGCATCTACTGCTCAGGATACAAGCTAGCCTGCAGTGCGA